CCGGATAGAGGGGGAACCCATTCTACTAAGTGAAGTATCTCAAGAATGGAAAAACAAGCACCGCATGTACTCACCAGCAAATTGGTATTAACAGATTAACACCTAAGTGGACATATAGGAATAACATTTATTGGGTGTAGGGCAGGTGGGGGGGGAGGAAGAGATGGGTATATACAAACATAAGAGTGAGATGTGCAACATTGGGGGATGGTCAGGCTTGAAGCTCTGATTCAAGGGGGGGGAGGGAGAGCACGGGCAATATACGTAACCTTAACATTTGTACCCCCATAATATGCTGAAATAAAAAATAAAATAAAATAAATATTTTCTATTTTATCTTGGTTTACATGTTAATCAATATTTTCACCGAATCACAAATGCCAGGAAAATATGAAATGAAGTTTAAGTTAAAACAAAATCTGTACGGAAGAATTTGAAAAATTAACTTCTTTAATAGACTTTAAGATAGATGATTTATTAGTCTACATTTGAGCATCAAATATAGCCTATATACTAAGTTTAAGAAAACTGTAATTTTCATGTTTCTTTTAGTTCAATATAATTTATGTATTTATTATGAGCTTTTTTGTTTCTATTTATTGAAACAGCTTTCTAGATGCTGAAATTATAACTCAATATTTTAAGAATTCAGTAATAATAGGGTTTCCATTTCTGCATGATGGATGTTCTCTAGTTTACTATTCCTCTTGCTTCTGTATAAGTTAACTCTTTTGGCACACAATCATTTTCATGATAGACCCAATTTCTTACATTGGAATTAATTTTGATGTTTGGATAGAGCCATGATTTGCTTTGATCTTAATTTTTATTTATTGAGGTATAATTTACATGGAATGAAAAGCTCAGATCTTAAGTTTACTATTCAATGAGTTTTGACAAATACATGGAATTGTGGATTCCACATCCCTATAACAAGACAGGGAACTTTTCAATCTTTTCTAAAACCCTCTGAAAGTTCGCTCAAACCCATCCCAGTTCTCCTTTCCTCCAAACAACCACTGAACTGATTTCTGTCACCATACTTTACTTTTCTTATTCTAGAATTTCATAAAAATGGAAGCATATACTGTGTCCTTTTCTGTCCACCCTCCTTCACTTCACATACTGTTTTTGATATTCAGTGCAGTGTTTTTCAATAATATATATACAATTGGGTCTCATGGACTTGAACAAGTCAGAACTTCCTATGAAATTAGATGTTATGATTTGCTACCTACTGAATGATGAAGATGAATGATGTATTTAAGTGACTTTAAGGTCCTGAGATGGTTTTTGACTACTGTAGAAAATATTTTCCATCTTCTCTGTTTTTACATTCCTTGATTATTGTCTTGAAAATGTTAATATTTCTCAAAAATTCATTAATGAGCTTATTTATCCTAATTGGGGCCTCAGCACAAAGTCTGAGTCACACATTCAATAAAAAAGACTTTTTCTTTGCAATATAATATGTTTATGCTCAACGTCCTGGATGCTGATGAATCTTATCAACTTCTAATAGTTAATATCAACTATTAAGTTAATTACCCATTTTCATATTTCTTATATATTCTTTGTAAATAATTTACTAACATGTTTTTTAAGACCTTCAGTTTCTTAAGTAAAGAAAAACAGTGTGACTAAGATTTGACTATTTAGATAAAATCCTAAAGAGCTATTTAACTTGAAGCACAAGTCAAGCAAAGACTTTATTATCTGTCAACAAACAATAAGAATTATGTGTTTCTCTAAATTGAAAAAAGAAAGATAAGGCAAGAAGTTGAAGAATGCCTAGCCAACTAGCAGATGAAGCTCAGAAGTTTCCAGCTCTGGGTTTGATGAAAAATAATGACACATCTGATATTATTTAGAATCTAATTTGATATATAAGTCATCATGTAGTTCAACTTTCTGATATTTTTAAAGTGAAAATATACACTAAATACTTATTTTCATTTCACTTATTGATAGTACATATCTGTATTAGTATAAACACATGCAATGAGATTTATTAGACAAATAGTTCATATCTTAATTCTTTTTTACACAGAATCATTGAAAAAAAATCTCAACCTCATTTTGAGATAACTGTCTCCTCTCACTACTGATTGCTTATGATGTCAATTCAGTAAATGAGAAGAAACTATTATAATTATTCACCATCATAAGAAAATAAAACTCTACAATTTATAAAATGGGAATATATAAAGGTATTTTAGAGTGTGTGTGTGTGTTTGTGTGTGTTAAAACCACAGCATTTTTTAAATCCACTTTGGGAAAAACAAAACTAAAAAGGCAATAGCAGATATATTGTTTTTGATTGATTCAGTGCCACTTCAGAATTAAACACAAATTTATTTATGTAGCAGAGATAATAACTTTCAGTTTGATGAATCTTTATTTAATGAAGTCTCATTATGGTTTTTAGAAAATAAAATGATAACATCCAATACGATATGACTTCCTTAGTCTCTTTAGTACCACAGGTGACTGGGACAGCTTCAATGGCCCGAATTATAAAATAGTAATGACCTCACTTAGAACAAATAATTATTTTACAAGTACAGCTGCACTTACCTTTATAATAGATGTCCTCCCTCCTAAGATGCCAAGTATAAATGCTTTCTTTAAAAATCTTGAATCATCATTTGAATGTTTTAAGGGAACTCATTGCTTAGAGAAACCCTTTGAAGTGTTCTTTTATAATGCAAAAACCCATACAGACTTATCTGTTTTGTAAATTAGGTTGTATTCATATCAGTGTTGTTGAAAAGTGACACATCCATCCAAGAGTAAAAGTTTTAAAAACAGTATCTAAGTATATATATGATATAGCTGGTATAGGACATAAATATATTCATATTTTAGTGTTTCTCAGTCTAGAGGAGGTAAGAGGAGGCAGCCAGAGTCACTGGGACTGAGTGTATTTGAATTGCATCCTTCCCTTGCTCTGATAAAAATCAGTGCCATAGAGAGCCATTGAGACTAATCAGGCATCTCATATCTTTCAGATATTTGGAGGCAGAGAAAAAAGATGAATTACAATTCTAGAGGCACTACAGTCTGTCAAATAAATATTATATCATTTTGATTTCTACATCCTTTTAAATGAAGATGGTCCCTGAAATAAGTTATGTTCCAAAGTCATGCAAGTGCCATCTATAGCCTAAGAAGAAATTTCAGCATTTAGAGAATGGTGGCCTGTCTTCTATTTTTTTTTTTTTTTTGGCAGTTGACATTCTGAACATAAAGTTCTCATCATTTTGTAGCTTCAAGGAATTCTCCCATAGTAGAGAGGAGTCCAGGTCTTGAAGAAAGATAGCCTGAAGGTCTGTGGGAGATATGCTGAGGAAAGGTAACTGCAAGGGAGAAGAATTCAGACTCCAACCCTGGGGGGTTTACATAACAGATAATGAAGGATAGCCTTAGAGCTCATCCCAGGCCTTGGGGCCTCCGTGAGTACAAGTCCATGCTTATTAGACAGGCATGGTTCGTTCCTTCTAGATATATTCTTCCAAGACATAATGATGATTTTAGTTCTTTTTTTTTTTTTCACATTAGACAATTCGAAGAGTAATTGTGCATAGGCTTGATCAACACTTTAAACAATTCTTGGTTCCACATAAATGATATAATTTTATGCATACTGAAAACTAGTAGTTGTATATTAACGCTTGATTCTCTAGGTCAGTGTTAAAAATAACTTCCAAAATTTTTTTCAGTTGCAGAAATCTTGGTGGTATGCAGGTAGTCCATTAGGTGACACACATTTGCCAATGCCACTCTCTCTCTATCCAACTAGCTGTAAGAGGATAGAATTGGAAGAACAGACAACCTAACCACAGTGCCTACTCTGCCCTGTTCATATTGTGAACAATCATCAAAAGATAAAAGATGGCATATATGGAAGATTATTATTCTTATTTATAGTAAATACCTTCCATTTTGTCTGCGTTGAGTATGTTGGAGTTAGCTTTCATTTTCATAGGCGCTCACTATGAACATCTTAGAGGCAGCATAGGAAAAGCTTATATGTTCTGTTCTTCTAGAACTCTGACATTCAATATAGTAGCCAGTAGCATATGCAGCTATTAAATAAATAAAATATGGCTAGTGTGGATGAGTAAATAAATGTTAAATTTCATTTAAGTATAATCAACTTAAATTCAAATTTTAAAATGAAAGCAGAGTCAAACATTTTCCATCAAACACAAATTTATTGTTCTAACAAAGCTGTGTTTTACTTAAAGCATCGAAAATTTAGCATTTGAACTGCAATGGTGCTTCTGTGAGTGTAAAATATATGCTAGATTGATAAGACTTAGCATTAAATAAGATATAAATTATATCATTAACAATCTTATATTAATTGTTGAAATGGTAATATTTTGAGCACATTGGGTTATAGAAAATATATTATTAAAGTTCATTTAACATATTTCTTTGTACTGTTTTTAAATGTGAATCCTACGGAATTTGTAATTGCATGTGTGGTTCGCATTACAGTTCTATTGGACAGTGCTGAGCTAGAACATTTTGAAATGTGTAGCAATTATTCCTCTATGGCTTCATAAAGGAAATATTAATCCAAGGCTGAAGATTGGTGTGTGAAAATCTGAGGACGGTGGTTTTCTTGATGGACTGTGCAGTAAGGGAAAGGGCCTCTTTCCCAACATATAAGAGAAGCAACCTTGGGCTTAATAATCATTTTTGGCCCATATGTCATTCTTTAATGTTTTCTCTTGTGCTTGTGATTCTGCTTTGTATGTAATAAATCCTTTCTGGAAACAGGTTTAAGGATGTCTCTCACCCTCTCCTTTTCAATCCATAGAATATGCATTGTGAGGAGAGGTGAGTTGATAGTTCAGAAAGGCCAGGGAGGATTCAGCTTGATCTAGTTAGGAAGATGCCAGTTGGAAGCCTTGTTCTTCTAGTTACTTGTTATGTGACCTTGGGGATACTGTTCAAATTTTTTCAATTTCGGTTGGTTTCATCTGAAAAAAAAAAAAATACCTAATAGGGAAGTTTTAAATTTCAAAATCAATAAGACTTAAAAGATATAAGAAGTTTGAAAATACCAAGTACATGGCAGGTCCTCGAATGGGTTCTGAATGAAGACATCGCTAAGATTTGAATGTGTGTCTTTACTTAGTGACCATATGGAGTCATGACTGTCAGGAGTACACATAGCAGTAGGTCTGGCACACATACCCGCTTACCACACGGATCCCCAACCTGGCTCTCTTCTACTCGGGTCCCTCTTTCTACACTCTGTGCAGTCTTCTAGTTCTTCCACTTCCACTTGCATTAAAATTAAATTACCACTTAGATTAGATCAAAAGATTGTCCCTGGTTGTGAGAAGAAAGAATACTTTAAGCTAGCACTAATCCCTTAACACACCATTATATTCAGGGACATTTTTTTCCTAGCAGGGAAATTATTTTTCAGCCTTCTCTGAAGTACTAAAAGTCCTTTGCCAACGTCAGCCCAGTGCAAGTTAACCTGTTATGAGATTTGTTTTGTGCTTTGGAAACGCTTGTCAGACAAGCATTCAACACTGAGATGTGTGATTTACATTAGTTTGCATAAGAAAATGTCACTCCAGGGACAAATTTCTCTCTTTATTTCTCCTTACACAACGGAACAGACAAAGAGGATTCGGTGGCTGCTTTTTAGTATATGAGTAATCACTTGGGACTCACAGAAAATATTAAATGCAGTGTCATTAGTCAAACCTTGTTTCTCTTCTGCAGTTCTCTCTCATGTCCCATTTGTAATATTGTTATTATCATCAAATGCAAACTTTATTTCCCAGTTTGGGAGATTGGTCTCAGCCAGACACAATCTCTCTTTATCTTCCTATCCCTTAGTGTCCTTTCATGTTTGGGGACAACCTGCTGAAAGTGGAGGTCAGTGTCACTCTTTGGCTTAGAAGACATAGCCTTTTCTGAGAACTTAGGTAACTGATTCATAGCTCTCAAGTCAGTCTCTTGGATCTGTGAAAACAATGCCCAAGACATGGTGTTTGGAGTCACTTTTCTTTGAATATGAATATATAGACAGAGAAAGAGATTGAACCAGGCTAAGCAACCTCAGGGCATAAAGAGGAATGTTACCATGCACTGTAATGTCAAAGGTTAAGCATTCCTAGAAGCGCATTGGAAGACTCTTTATCCAAATCTTCTCCATCTACCCTAAACCCAGTGTAAACGATAAATAATTCTTTTAAAATTTGAATACTTTGACAAGAAAGTAAAGCATAGAAAACAATTTTTTAAATCAATATGTAGTGATTGAAAAAAGAAGAGTGAAAGGTGATGCAAGATTTTAGAAATATGAACTTTAAATAGGAATAGACAGAGCTTTTTCAAGGATAGATAAACTCACCATCTCCTTTGTAGTATAGCATTATTAGTGCAGAAGATTTAGGAGAGAAATTTAGTTGGGGTGGCAGAGACATGATCAGGGGTTTTATGTGCAACATCATCTTCAAACATTCAGGTCATAGTTGTCAGACGGCTTGCCATAAAGATCATCTTAGTCACATTTCCCATCCAAGACAGGAATATTCTCCTGGATATTCACGACAGATCATCCATCTTGTGCTCCAATGACCAGGTCTCCTACTAGAGGTTAAGGTGAAGTTTTGGCTTTATTCAATGGTATTTTATAAAAGAATCTGAGAATACCAACATCTTAGCCTGCTCATCGGGGATCCCAAGGGAGCTGGTAATATGGGAGAAAGGGTTTCCTGGGGCCGTGTTACTAATAGCTATAGAAGCTTCGTTATCCACAAAGCAGAGCTTTTGAAACAGTCTGTACTTAGGCATGAAGCCTAAGTAGAATTTCCTCTACTTTCCTCAAAATCTACTTGTTAGCACCAGCAAGACTGGATGTGTCTAGTGGGGTGTGGGTTTCGGGGGGACCGGAGAGAACATTGAATCCTGGGGAACCTGTACAAGAAAGAGCACATATTTCTGTGCTTTTGAAGGTGCTGGCCATCCAATAGCAAAAGGAGGGCAAATGAATGGCTTCAGATTGGACCAGATTATCAGATCCTCCTTCCCTGATGAACAGCTCACACATGGATGAGAGGAGCTGGGCCTGATATGGGAAGCACAGTCCAAGAATTCCCTCTTTTAAATCTCAGTATTTTCCAGGGCAGCCTCTCCCATGTTTGAACAGCTCCAATTTTGCTTCTTAAATTAACTGCTATTTGTCTCCCTCTATATTGCACTCATGGAGCCTAACTGTACTCTTAAAATAAACATGTACATTCTAATCTTTCTTTCCCACATGAACTGCTGTTTTTAAGATAACTACTCACTACCCCCTTTTGAAAATTGGACCACCATTTCACAACCTCCAATTTCTAATCTATTTATAATAATTAAGTAATATTAAGTATAATAAGTAAGTAATTTATAATAATTAAATAATCTATATATAATAATTTATAATAATTAAAGACACCTAACACTGGTGCCACAGTCACCTCTACAAGTCCTCTCAACATCTCAGTCAGAGTGGTGCTCATTTGGGCCCAATGCTTGAATTCATTCAGAGGTTCTAATTGCTCTTCTATTCTGTCCTCTCCTATCTTGAGCTTATCTTCCCTGAGAAGAATGTGTGGTTGTGATTCTTCTAGAGTGGAGATCATTTCTCTTGTAAGGAAAAATAAAATGTAGCTAGTTCTACTTCCTCTGTCTCATCACACCTTCTGTTTTAAGTAATATTCCTAAACTGTCTATGTTCTTGCTCCAGCCAGATGATAAATACTACACCCCAACCCAAAACAAAGCAAAACAAAACCTAACTTCATGAATTATTACTGGCTTTGTATGCAAGCCTTGGTTGATCTGGGTCCTCACTGTTTATGACAACAATATGAGTAATAATTTAACAATAAGGCCAGGAGCAGTGGCTCATACCTGTAATTCCAGCCTGGGCAACACAGCAAGACCTATATCTACAAAAACAAGAAAAATTAGCTGGACGTGGTGGCACACCTGTAGTCTCAGCTACTCAGAAGGCTGAGGCAAGAGGATCACTTGAGCCCAGGACTATGGGGCTGCAGTGAACCATGGTTGTGCCACTGTACTCCAGCCTGGGTGGCAGTGAGACCCAGTCTCAATAATAATGATAATGATAATAATAACAACAAGAATCAATATTTATATAGAGCTTACTCTGTTCCAAGCACTGTTCTGAGCCCTTTACATATATTTACTCAGTTGATGCTAACAATACTAACTTTAGGTGGCTATTAATAATATCTCCATTTTATTGATATGAAAACTGAAACTCAGAGAAGTTCAATGATTGGACATAGACACAGAACTAGAAGGTAATACAGCTGAGGTTTAAAGTTTAAATTCAGGCAGTCTGGCTCCAGGGTTCATGATTTTTTTACCAGGACACCATGCTGCTATGTCTACTTATAGGAGTATGTGCCCTTTGATGTTCTTTTCCTGTTTTTGTGAACCTTATTTTATCTTTTTTATCTTTTAAAATTCTGAGCTCCTTAGAGATTTTCCAGTGTGGCCAGTCAATTTTATTTAGGTTCTCTGAATAGTCTCTGAATGGAAGAAAGTGGTTTTTCATCACTAAAACCCACATAAGTACTTGAGATGCACAAGGTTCAAGGTCAGAACCTGAAGGAGAAAGTATCACAGCATAAGTAACAATGTAAAAATTCAAAGGAAGATGAAAACCCAAAATATGCTAAGGTCAAATACTGGAATCTACAGGGGCACTGGCCTGGTTAGGCAGCAAGAGAAGGGAAGTAGCATAAGGTGATTCGGCAGGGGAGAGATGTGAGACCAACAGAGTTACATCAGCAAAGCTGGAGAATAAACTCTCCAGATTGAGTTATGAAGGAGAATGCCAGAGAGGCGGAGAGGTAGGCTAGAGATTCTCCTGACAACTTTATAAACCAGGGATACTAGCACATAGGTCTTTGTTTCTAATGTAATTATCTAATAAAAGGGATCAAGGATCTTTGGAGAAATGGCTAAATCTAGAACAGGACAGGTAAGGTACAAGAAGAGCCTGGAACATCTGGTAGAGACAGAAAGTAAGAAAGTGCAGAGAGGAAAAAATGGAGGGAATGGAGAGAGGATGGGAGAGGGAGGAGAGCAGGAAGAAGGAAAGAAAGAAAGGAATAAAAGAATGAATGAAGGAAGGAAGGAAAAGAGAGAGGGAAGGAGGAAAGAAAGAAAGAAAGAAAGATAGGGAAACCCCAATGAATGGGATTGGGGTCTATTTCCCTCCTTGTACTTAACAGTCCTTTTTGTGAGAAGTTGGATTCTGCTTCTGTTTGTTGTCACCTTGTTTCTAATGGCAGTCCAAGAACCTCCAAGCACTCTATATAGTAAAGACGTGCCTATTCTTTCTGCCTTGTACTCTGATTCCCCCTAACAAATATATCCTTAATACTTCTTGTCATTTTTGGCAAATAGCCTGAGATTACTACACTTTCACTTGAACTTCATTTCCAAGGTACAGCACTCCTCCCATCTGTGTGCCTGAGACCCAGCCTTTCTTTCTGTAAGCTTCGTGCTGACCCTCTTTCTCCAGAGTGTGTACCATTTGCTCTAGCACACTGTGTATCCAGTGCCCCTGCTGGGAGCAGACCAAGATGCCATATCTTGATGGTCTTCATTCTTAAGCAATCCTATGGGTTCACTTTCAGTTCATAACATTAAAACAGAGGTTACAAACTCATATGCCTACAGAGGCCATATGAAATAAATGAGCCAGCTGGGCTGGAGGTCAGGCACATAATAGTTCAGGCAAGATTGCCACTAACTTGTAGCCTCTGTGTCAAAGAGACAACAAGGAGAGGTGAAGACTGTGGCACCCTGGAGAACCCAGTCTGAAAGGGCAGCCCCTGCTAGCTGCTGCCAGGCACTACCACGCAGGGAAGCTGGACCAATCACACAAAATATTCTTACTTTTAATGACAAGCCAGAAGTGAAGATTTTTTTTATGTAAACTCTGATTCATTACCTGTATTTAAAATTTCTTTCAATTAAAAAACCGATCAGGCCGAGTAAAATATATCTGTAAGATATTACCCACCTACTTGCAAAAACTCTGCGTCTGCATGGAAAGGAGAAAGAGAAGCACAGTAAAACTCTCTTCATTAACACCGGTGTCATGCGCACAGGATGAATAGCCCAGTTATAGGCTAACAATTTCACAGCAACCATGTGGTTATTATGTGTTGTATATATGAAATTATGTCATAATGAGCTAGCTCATAACAAGATTGTGCAGGCTGTAAAACTATTTTATAGCTCCGAGAGAGAGTTGCTCCTGAGTTCACTGACAGTTGTTATTGTTTCTTTCCATCTCACTTATTTTGGAACTTAAAAAAAAAAAAGAAATGCTCACCCTACTCTGCTCAATGCCAAGTTTTACAGTAGTGCATGGTGTTTCTTCATCTTATTTTCTTAAAATGACCTTTCCCCATCTCTTTCCTTCCAGTTATTTCTACCTGTTTCCCCCTCTCTCCCAACAGTGTCCCCAGTGGAATGAAAGTGCTGGAGGTGTTTGGCCAGTTCTTGGGTGGAGTTTCATAGTTACTTGTCTATTCTCTCTGTAAGGTGGAAATTCAAAAAGCTGAAGATTACCAAAAGATAAGATTTACATTGTTTAAACAAATGTTTAAGAAAAGATGTATTTAACCAGTTCCTCTAAGAACTGGAAGATAGTTGAAAATTTGAGATGGGCCCATTTACTGTAATTAAAAAACAAACCAACCTACTTTTTCATAGATGATCTTATCCATTTGGCATCAACTACTATTTATAAATCTTAAATGATTCCCAAATCTAACTTGTAACCAAATTTTCAACTACCTGCCAGGTATCTTTGCTGGAATTGCCTCTTGACATTTAAGTGTGGCTCCAGTCTGCTCACCCACCTTCATTCCCTGTCTTGCTAACCCTTCCCCACATGGAGGCTGGGAACTAGGGGCATCCATGGTGGTTCATCCCTCCCCTCCCCACCAGCCAACAAGAGGGCAGGCCCTACTTAACATATGAAATGTATCTGGGATCCAGTCCTCCTCTTTCACCCTTTCCATTTCTTACAAGAACTTTTACAGTAACTACTGAACTGCTACTCTTGCCTCTGAACTGCAGCTTCTTTACTCTCTTATCCACAAATTCCCAGTTATTTTCCTTAAAACAAAATGATAACTTTGTTTTATTAAAAGCCTAATGGGATACTCCATCGGCCAGAGGGAAAGGCAGAAAGCCTTTCTTACCTGCACACTCAATCTCTTTATTGTGGGATTTAATGTCTAATGCATCTTTTAAGCTTCATCTGCTTCTTCCTCTTCTGAGCTCCAAGCTGGAACCACACTCATCTTACTGCCCCTGCCCACCCTATCTTCTGGCCTTATAGACCTCTGTGCCTTTTTTCCATGCTGTTCTTTCTGCCTTGCTGTTCTCTGGCCTATGCTGGATTGTCTAATACCTTGTCACATGGTCCTTCCCCTGCGAAGCAAAATATTCATTCCTTTCCCTGCATTCTTTAATACCTAGTTTATGTAAGTCTCATGGTACTTATTACAATCAGGCCTTGTATTTGTCATTTTTTTTTCTTCACATTTTTCTCCTTTTGGAGGGAGGTTAGGACCTAAGTCTTCCTCATCTTTTGGTTTTATTAATACCTTGCACAGAGAAGACTGTCAATAAATATTTTTTAAAAAAATCCAATTCAATAATTATCAGTTTCTCTAGTCAATGAAAATTTGATGAAATCAAGGAAAAATGAATTTTCAGTCTTTATGAGACATGTCTTTTCTTACAGATGTTAGGATAGTCTGCCTTAGATGAATGGGAGAGAGGGAACATAAATAAAAGTGGAAAATTCTTAGAATATTATTATTTTTTATTTCATTGTTTTTTCTTTTAATTTTCTCACACATTCCAAAGTTAATTCAAAGAAAACGTTCTGAATAAGATGAAAGTAGGGTTTTAAATTCCACCCAAATCTAACCAGCTAACCACATACTATTTGGTATAAGAAAATAAAAATCTACCATTGATTTTGTATCTCAGCCCAGAGACTGTGTCTTTAGAAACATCATTCATTGCCAGACAGTGGCTCATATCTATAATCCTAGCACTCTGGGAGGCCAAGGCAGGGGAATTGCTTGAACTCAGGCATTGGAGACAAGACTGAGTAAGGGTGAGACCGTGTCTCTACTTAAAACAGAAAAATTAGCTGGGCATCTTGGCAAGCACCTGTAGTCCCAGCTACTCAGGAGGCTGAGGCAAGAGGATCGCTTGAGCCCAGAAGTTTGAGGTTGCAGTGAGCTATGATGATGCCACTGCACTCTACCTGGAGCAACAGAGCGAGACTCTGTCTCAAAGAATAAAAAGAAATCATTCCATTTATACTTAGTGTGAAGCTGTGCAACCAACTTTTCTGTATGGTCATTGTGACAATTCAGCCTGTTTTTCCAAAGTATCATGAATAAGCCATGTGTGGGAAGGAATGACCTGTGCATGTACATGTTGGGAGGACTTCAGGCCATTGCTCTCTTTGTGTCACCGTGACATCAGCCTTGATAATCATGCAGGGGCTCTGTCTTCACAGCAGCACCTGGGCCTGTGTCAGGCTGAGTTCTTTTATATCATCGTATTTTCGTCAGAAACTTCAATAAGGTTATCTTTTTCTCAGGTGACATCCTGATTATTACAAAGTCTAGGAGAAAGTGTCCTAGGGTTTAGATAGGATTCTGCCTTGGGCTTATCTTGCTCTACTTGGTCCTGTAGTCCTGACATATGCTGTCAACATACTGTATAGCTTTGTTGGCCATCATCGGTGTCACATCCGTGTGTGCCCAGGCTGCCATCCCTTGTTGGCAGAGACAAATTATTGCCTTTTGTTACCCAAAGTGATAGATCAAAAGGTATGCGAGAGGATGTACAGTATCCAGTTCTTATTGGTTAATCATGCCCAACTGTTGAAGGGGCTTCATGAGTTCCCTGGTAAAAGGAGCCTGAATTTGAAGCTGCTTTGAAGCAGTTCTTTGCTCTGGAATTAGCTAATGAAGGCTCTCTTTGTTTGGGTATTGGAAAGCCTCCAAAACTCACTCGGGAGGGAAATTAACAAATGTCTTTTTTGTTACCTCCAGATAAATCTTCATGATGAAATGCACAACCGTTCTACCTCTTCAGTCTTCTCTCTGCTTCTTCCCCAGTGGACACTCAATTACCATGAATGAATGAATGAATGAATGAATGAATGAATGAATGAATAAAGTTGGGGAACTCTGGTTCTTTGTCTAAATAAATAGCAATAAAGAAATGTTTGAGAGTTACTGCTAGTTAGAAAGGCTGTGAGATTCACCATCTCAGGTAATATTCTAAATATTCCATATTGATGCAAACATTTCTGATTATTTAAAAATGTTATTTATATACTATCTTATAACCACCAGCTGCTGGTATTGTCTGAACATGCAAAACTGGAAACAGTACACCTGTAAGTGTGTGTGCTTGTACTGTGTCACAATAAAGTGTATCTATCTTTGGACTTACTAGTCAAAAACACTGGGAAGCTGTTGATGTAAGTAATGGAGACAACAGAACTCAGAGGGTAACATTTGCATACATTGTATACTTGCAATTTTATTTTCTAATATCATTGATATAAGAAGTTAATTATATGAGCCAACTGTGAATAAATAGTCTTTTCAGATGGAAATACTGAGGTTGTGACAAAGACAACCCTCTTCACGGCCTACAATTTACTCTTCTAACACTTGGAAAAATTAAAGAAATATTCAGCAATGTGTTGAATTTCAATCTCACAGAGATAAGGAGAGACTGAATAGCTCCAAATGCAATATTCTAGTTATCTTGGCAAAGTATAAAGCCACCAGTTCTCATAGGGGAAGGAAGGAAATTCAGTATTTGCCAGTAACATCCAAGCTTTATCCTAAGAACACATCTTTTCTGGTGGGAAAAAGGAATTTAGGTGATTCAAGCAGAAAGAATAAACATTTCCATGACCAAAAAGGAAATAGCTGTCTGAGCAATATATTTATGTTAATGCACAAATTTTTTTTTCATAGTAGACTAGGCTTTAGGATCCCTTAAAACATTTTTCCCCATAGGATCACTCTGCCTATATTTTAGGCCTGTTGACATCTAATTTTACTGATAAATATCCTTGGATTTTTATTTATTTATTTATTATTTTAGTTTTCTCCTTTCAACTCAGTATCTGTGCTTGTCTTGATATTTGCTATAAAATTACTGCTAGATTAAAGAATTCTAGAAACAGCATGGTTCAAGATTTTGTATAACCAATATAATTATTCTGGAGGAAATAAAGGTAGAGAGGAGAGTCTGAGAAATTGGTGACCTTTGGGTAAGTATATGATATGTTTTCTCTTTCCTCATATTTACCTAATGTTGTGAAATTTTAGGATTACATGTGGAGTGGTGACAAATAAGTAGTGGGACTGGTGGAGGGAGACAGGGCTGGAGAATTTACAGAAGATGGCAATGGTATTAGAGATGGTGAATTGATTTATCTGGCATTGCTAGGCATTGCTCCCTGTCATCTTTTCCTTCTTCACTTAAAACAAACAAAAAGATCCAGGCACAATGGTGCACGCCTATAGTTCCAGCAACTCGGGAGACTGGAAAGGGAGGATACCTTGAGACCAGGAGTTCAAGGCTATAATGGCTAGGATAATGCTTGTGAATAGCCACTGCACTCCAGCCTGGGCTGCACAGCAAGATCCTGTGTCAGAAAACAAACAAACAAAAGAAATCTGAAGTATAGGTGGGCTTCTTATGCTCCTCCTTAGTTACCTTGTATCCCTGTTTTTAGTAAGGAGAAGCAGAGGCTTTATGTGGATAAGGAATGGGTAGAAGCGGATGCTCATGCATTTTTGCTGGTAGATAGCTCAGCTGCTACGCTGCCTGGCTATGGCTGGTGTCCAGCCAGCCTGGGGCACCTCTAGCATCCTTTGTCATGGGGCAATATGTTAATGTATTGAAGTGCCAAGGAGAAATAGGACACAATTCCAAACACATGTAAACTGAACAACACCTGTTTTTACTTGTTCATTATATTTTTTCTTCATATACTTTAAAAAATATTTTATGTAAGAACGTCAGTGCATTAAAAAAAGTGTTAATTAATGAGCCATTTCCAACTTAGGCCTCCTATTTCCAAACCCAATTCTAAGACCCATACCTTTCACAATGTTCTAAATAATTCAGCTCACAATGATCTTCCTCTTCTCTAGACCCATAATATTTATTGAGTCAATCCCTCAAAGAGTAGTAATGAATTATGGTGAAAAGAAAATTGAACTGCAACTCAGAAGGCCTGGGTTTTAGCTCCTGATCTTTTTTCATAGTATATTTAATCACACAATTAAACCCTTCGGTCTCCCACATTATGACTCAGTATGATGAGTTTGTGTGAGAAAGTGTCCACTATATGATACTGGATCCCAAAGAGCTACCAGTAATGATTGCTGTCCTAGGAATGTGCAAACAGGAAAACAATTATCAGCCACACTCCAAACCAGAAGTGAATTATCCCAGCAAAAGAGGTTGAGGACTCATTGCTACAGTCACAAAACCAGAATGTATATTCTTTCAGAGAAAACCCAGATGGAGGGCATGAGATTAGAGCCTTAGAACAGCATATCAGAATCTTCCAAAGCCTGTTTAATGTAAGTTTGTGGAAGAAATGAATTGACAGATTGATTAGTGTCTACTTGGATCCACTACTTTGATCATGGGCAGAGGAAAAGGCTAATATTTATAATAAGAAGATTTTGAAGCAAGAAGAGGAATCATTCCTACCACATGCAACTATAAAAACAAAACAAAACAAATCAACTGTTGCAGTACTAGTTAGGGATTATCATTATGTCTTTAATGAAGAGGAAATAGACTTATAATTTACCAAACATCCCTTATTGATCCCTGTATTTCACTAGTCAGAGTAGATGGTAAAATTTTTCCCTTCGCACCGTGGATTTCATTAATTCACATAGTTATCAAACAAAACAAAACAAAACAAAAAGAACTTGCTAGTCATCCCTTTGAAAGGTAATCATGAGGGAAGATAGCACCCACCTTCCCCTCTAAGTGGATGGGTAGGAGCCTAACTTCCATTAGCACCAATTAGTGAACACAGGGATGACCTAATCACATAGACCAGTCTCTACTCCAATGTGCTGTGGTAGTTTTTCACTAG